AAAAAAACCGATGAAAATAGTCCATGAGATTTCTCCCTATGTTGCTGTTACCCCCAAGAACGGCACAAGGGACGGTGTCGGGTCGGGAAACGACCAAGATACAGCGCAGTAAGGGCCCCAAAAACGGGGAAGCCAACGTACATCCTCAGAGGGGGGCGAGTCCTCACAGCGCTGTAAAGGCTAAGGAGGTTGCACCATTGGCGGGTATATATAAGCACTGTTCGTGTTTTATCATTACTGTAGGTGGCGAATTTGATGTCCGAGGTACCGTTCAATACCGTCATGATATCTCTGATTGTTTACTATGCTCGTTGCCAGTAAAGGAAAACATTACATTGAAAAGACGGAGGTAGTCATCCACGAAAAATCCCATGCAAACAACCGCTGCTGCAAAGGCGACAAGAAAGCAAAACCTGAAAATCAATTGTATTTCACCAAGATGCAGTTTGAGCCAATAAAGATGTATGAGTAGTAGTCTTCTTGTTCGGCTTTCATAACTTAGAGCACAATGACTCTGAATCCCACCACAGGCACAACTTGAGTGGCACATCTTACATTCACCTCCCTTTGCTTATGATTAGTAATGATATCCAGAAGCCGTACACTTGCTGCTTATGGGACGGATTAATTAGAAAAATGAAAAGCAAGCGACATTTCCAGCGACGGCCTGCGGTGGTATGACCACGCACTGTAAAGAGCGTCTTTAAATAGAAGGAAGCAATGAAGATAGAACTTCAAAAGGAGCTACGGGTGGAGTCCTGAAGAAGGGGTTGCAGGAAGTGATCGAGAAGGACTTCAATGAAACAAAGCGGACGGCAGAAGGTTGTGTAGATAGATGGAGTGGCCAAAGGGGATGAGAACTGAGGACCATAAAGCGCTAAATTAAAAGGCGAAAGATGCACTTAGTGTGCAGGGCTAAACAAGAAGACTACTATTCAGTTTTGCTACAAAAAAATCGAGTTGTTCATCGATTTGGAAAATTCACATACGAGACGAGAACACATAGTACTGCTACAAGGACCATCGCCGTATATCCTGCCCCACCCAGTACAGACGCAGCCACAATGGCCACGGCACCGCGGCGAGACCTTCGTGAATCGAAACGGTCACGGCCCATATGAAACGTCCAACTGAATCCAATAAGTCTAAGGGGACTTTCCTGTAAACTTAAGGCATATCTCACTTACCCGGCCATTACTAATGCAAGAGCGAAATTGGAGAGAATCACAAGAATCAGGGGAATTTGAATTGAGTATCCAAGGATTTTAATTATACCATTGCTCTCCTGAAAAGCATTGATTTGCCATCAGTCTTTCGGCAGTGGTTATAAGTTAATCAGTCATATTCGATCAATCAAAAGCTCAGAATTCAACCACAGTAGTGTAAAAGAACAGGATCGGAAAAAATCGGAAACAAAGAAAGTGGTGGATAGCTGTGAAAAAAATCGCAACCTTTTGAATTCAAGCTATTAGGTTGGAAGGAAAGTCCTGCAACACAATCAAGGTCTTTTTCAAATCATTTCTAAAATTTTCCGGGCCAATTAATTTCCGGAAATATATTCACCAAAGAGGTCAACAACCTTCTATTATCTTTTGG